TTTTGGTTATAAGAGTCTTGGATCTTCTGGAATTTCTCATTTTCAGGGAGTCAAACTGTCTCTTTTCCTCACATTTCCACCATTAACAAAAGACAATAGACTTTTCTATCTTTCATATTTCCAACTGGGTTAAAATAGCAAGGTGTTTTTTTTGTAATTCTGTTCTATTTCACTTAAGGAAGAACCACTATAGCACTTTTTTTTCTAAAAAGAGAAACTCAAATTTCAGTAATGTGAGCCTAAAGATTTATAAAATAGATTTATATTAAATTATGTTAATAGAAGCCTAGTAAATGCACCAATTAATTGCATGGAAAAAATGTTCCCTTTTAAAAAGGTCTGTCACCTTAACAGGTACATTCAAAGATTCCTTGTGAATAATGAAAATAGGAACAATTGCTTTGATGCACTGAGCTGCATTCATCGTCTAGGACAGCTTTCGGCTGTGTTTGGAGAAGATGGGAGGAGCTCTTTTTAAAGGAGTGATTGCTCCTTTAAACTCACTTTCCTTTGGCAGATGGGTTCCATTGGAAGTGTCATTCTCCTCATTAGCCCCTGAAGACTGGACTGGAGCTACTGCAGCTCTCTCCTCTCTCATTCCACAGTGTTCAACTGGTCTGTCCAGGTCCCACCCCAACTCAGCATCTTCTCCCACCCCTCACCCCTCCAAGGAAATCTGGCAGAGACTATGCACAAAGTGAATGGGACTGGCAAGAAAAGTACAACTGGGAAGCAGAAGTGGGGAAGTGCCTCAGTTAAAACTATTCTTTTTCCACCCACATGTCTACCACCAATGGTCTGGCTCTCACACCCCCCAACATACACACACACACACACACACACACACATACACAGAGACACACACAGAGAGAAAAAAATAGTGATGATACAAACATGCATGATGCATCAAGTCTCTACACATGTGTGTTCACACAGAATCTGTTCAGTACTTCAGTAGTGGCAATTGTCTGAACTGTCAGAGGGGCCCCAGCAAACTGTGTAACCTGAGCAGATATAATTAGACACAACTGAAGAAGGAATGGGGGTGGTGGGGGAGCCAAGAGGCTAAAAAATAAAATAAAAACTTCACCACACCAAGTTTTTGTTTCTTCTGAGGATCCATGGATATCTTTGGGGGTTGGGAGGAAACTAAACTACAATGGCCACTTGAAGCCAATTCAGAATGAGAACTCCAGAAGGCAGAGGTCTGTTGGGACCAGTTTCATTACCTGGGCCCATTGACATCCCAAGAATGGGCTTACAATCAAGAAGACTTGTCTGGGGCACCATCTAGGTCAGGCCATTGGCCTTGGGCCAGTGTTGGTCACTGAGTGGGAGGGTGAAGGGGAAAGGTCTTGCTCCTCCTCTGATCTCTAAATGTCTGGGCTGGGCCAAGGCATAGAAGGTGAGAGGTCACCCTTCCTATCCTTTTCCTCCCCCCCTCATCCCTCTCTGTCCTGGGACTTGTTTTTAGAGATACACTATTGGCCCTGCTATTTATCTCTTTCTCTTAGTGAATACGTTCTTAGGTTTATTTTTATTTTTTATGCACTTAAAAATTTGTTTGATGGTACTTCAGGTTAAACTGTGCCTCATGCTAGTCTGGTACTCTACCACTTGTGCCATACCTACAGCTCAGCTTTTTACTGATTATTTTGGAGGTGGAATCTAGCAAACTTTTTGTTTGCTTAGACTGACCTCAAATCTTGTTTCTCCAGATCTCAGCCTCCTGAGTAGTTAAAAATCACAGACCTGAACAGCAATTTTTAAATTCTTACTTTCATTTACCTCTTCCTATTATGTGTTTCATGGTTGCTAAGCAGTCATGTTTTGGATGAAGGGCATTTTGTTTTTAATTCTTTTTAAATTTAATTTTACTGTCAAGGTGATGTACAGAGGGTTGTTTTTGCATAGAGATGGTTAAATCTGAGACTTCCCAGGTAGGTATTTTCCAGGATAGCCCAGGAATCTTTTCTTGCTTTTTGTTCTTTATTTTTTGGGGAGAGGGGGTAAGAATCTCTACCACCACACCTGATGCTTTTGCTCATTGGCTAGCACTCTACCACCTGAGCCACGCCTCCAACCCAGGGCCAAGGGATCTTAACCTCATTTTTGTTTCTTCTCTAATACATCTAACAAGACTTCACTTAGAATATCTGATGTTAGGGCTGGGAAGGGGGCTCAGTGGTAGAGCGCTTGCCTTGCATGCATGAGACCCTGGGTTTGATTCCTCAGCACCACATAAGCAGAAAAAACCGGAAGTGGCGCTGTGGCTCAAGTGGTAGAGCACTAGCCTTGAGCTGAAGAGCTGAGGGACAGCGCCCTGGCCGAGAATTCAAGCCCCACAACTGGACCCAAAAAAAGAAAAAAGAATATCTGATGTTAATATTACTTAGAGTATTTGTGTGTGAGTGCTAGCTTGAATATTCTTAACCCATTACAATACTGTAAGTGGGCCTTTAAAATCAGACCGATTCTCAAAGTCTTATTCTCACTTGAAAACTTCTTTGAAAAGTCAATCTTTGTTTGTTTTTGGAGGGAGAGTTTAGAAAAGCTGTGCAGTCTATTGTACTGGAGTAGGAAAACTCATGTTCCATTCCAAAAATGATATTTTTTTTAAAAAAAAGCTACACTCTGTTTCCAATGCTATAGAATATAATACATTGCTCTAGATAGTTTTCATGAAAAGCGAAGTGAGAGGGGCTGAATCCAGCCCGAAATCAGCACGGACTGAGGGCTAAAGCCGCGTCTGCTCTCGCAAAGCAACAGAGCAGAACAGCACTGCACCTGGTATGCAGGTTAAGTACGTGGCTCTGGGACCTGGGATTGCCAGGCCAAACAAGGCCCAGGGATCCCCACTGCTCACAGACTTGAGGAAGGGCTACCTGGCAGAGGGGGTGAACTGGCCGAGGGGTGCATTAGCAAACACCATCCAGATGCCCTGGGAAGGCTTTGCTCTGGGCTGGCGTGCAGAAAGGGACCGCTCTTTGTCCTCCTAGTTATTCCCTGCGAAGGAATGACTCTCTTTTTAAACGCCTGTTCTGGGCGCCTAAGAAAGCCCCTTCCTCCTACCCTGTGTGCAGGCGCTCCGAGAGAGGCCAGTTTCTTGAGAAGAAGGGCTTCATTCCTAAAGACTACTCCTTTAGGAAAAACAGCAAACCTGCACCTTCTCCCTTTGACAGCCGGCTGGGTGAGGGACCCGGGCTCCGAGTTTGGAAGGCTTAAGGACAGAGATCCAGGCCGGAACATGCCCTTCCCCCACCCCCACCCGCAATCCTCACCCTGGCGGGTGGTAAGCAGGCCCGGAGCTCCGGACTCCACAGATCACTGCATTCTCTCTGTACTTCAGAGTGCTCGAAAGCACTCTGTAAATGGCGTGTCCCTTCAAGTCCTGTCAAGTGCGTGTTTGTGGGGTGAGGGGGTGTCAGGGGAAATGCAGTCACATTCTGCTTCCCTTCTTATTCATAGAGCCCCCTTATTTTTAGAGCCCAAGAGGGAGCTGGTGAGGTTTCAGTTAGGACCGACCTAAAGTACAGCAGACCTACAAAAATTGTGCCCATGAGCCATGAACATTCTCTGTGGCAGGAACTTAGTGGGACTCAGAGCTTCCAATTTCCATTTCTGTGACTTCACTCCCAGAGATGCAGGCTAGACAAGGCCAGGTCGCCCAGCTTAAGGAAGGGCTACTGCAGAAACTAACTCTTCTAGCCATGGAGGGGAGAAACAAGGTTACAGTTAGCTTATGAAAAATAATAAACAAAACCCAGCAACATAAAACAACCTAAGAGTCTAAAGGCATTTTTTGAGCTGCTCTGGAAATGTGATATTGTCCATTTTTAGACAGAGTGGTAATCTGTCCATGGCTTCCCCCCTCCCCCCTTTAAGCACCGAGGAGAGTTGCTAAATTTGACAAATCACTAGGAACATCAAAGTTTCTAGTCACTTGTTAATGTCACTTGGTATTTTGGTATATTCACTCCTGACCTATCTGATGGATGGTTGCACTTTCAAAAACTATTCTAATTACGCAAATTCCCTCACATAACTCAGCTTTTTAATACTGGTAGAGATTAGGAAGAAGAAAGGAGGGGAGGTGCCATAGAAAAGAAGTACAGGGTAAGAGGCTTTTCACCTTTCTTTATTAAATAAAAAGTTTACCTGCCATTATTAAAGGGAAATTGGAGGGGGTGGGGGTTAAGGGAGAGCAGTAATGATGAGTGACATCAGGGTGTAAAGATGTCTTTTTCAAAAGTTTCTGGCATATAGAAAACATGTAATTCTTCCAGTTCCCTTAGCCAAGAAACCTACACTGCCAGTTTTCAGATAACATTTTCTGCAAAGGTCCTTAGTCTTTTGGTGACCACCTGCTCCCACTGTGGCTCTTTCAGTAGGGTAAGGGGAGGAGAGGGAAAATGGGGAGAGCAAACACCACACATGTAAAATCCTGGTTCGGTTTCATTTATTTAAATAAATATAAATATAAATCTTATATAAAACTATTCACATACAAAGGGCCTTCCAGCGACTTCGATTTTAAACTCTCTCTAGGCAACTTTTCAAACAGCAAGATCGTCAGGGTTTACTTTTCCAAATTATTTGCAACTTCTATAAGTTTATATTGACCAAAAAATAACCCCCCCCCAAATAATGACGAAACCCGATGCTCCTATCAAGTTCTGAAAAACAGGGATGGAGACATGACAAGCGCTTTCAAAAGCCCCCTTCCAGTGTTAAATTTAAAGCAATCCTTTTTTTTTTCTGTTAGAGGATGAAAGTGAGTTGAATTCTAAGTTATTTACATTATAAAAAATCTATTCCTCTGAGTGGAACCCCAAATAAACAGGCCATAAGGAAATGCAAAGGGTCAAGCCCAGCTTTCTCCCCAGGACTTCTGTGCTAGTTCCTTGGAGCCAGACCTGGTGGGTGAGAATTTTAGCCCCTGGATACCCCCCCCCCCGTGTTGGCGTTGAAGGAGGGGGGTGGTGCCAGAAGCAGGTGGAGTGAGAGGGTGCCCCACCACTCATAAGGGAGAGATCTCCTTGTCATCGTTGGCAGAGGCTGGCGACAAGGAATCCTCGTCCTCAGAGCGCGCGTAGTGCGCCTGGCCGCCGACGCACTTGCAACCCGCGTGACTGTTCCTCTGGGTGCCCTTGCCCTCCTTCTTGTGCTTCACCCGGCGGTTCTGAAACCAGATTTTCACCTGCTTTTCCGACAGGTTCAAGTAGGTAGCGATTTCGATCCTCCGCAGCCGTGACAGGTACATATTGGAGGAGAATTCCCGCTCCAGTTCCAGGAGCTGCGTGCTGGTGAACGCCGTTCTCATCCTCTTGCCATTGGTTACCTGGCTGGCGTCCGAGCCTCCTGCAGACCGGCCAAGAGAGGGCAGAGAGTTGAGGCTGGCGATGGGCGCCCTACCCCTTATACCACCCCTTAGAAAGAACACTTGCCAAGGACTCAGGCAACACCCGTCTTCTTCCCTCTCTCCCCACCCCTCCCATTTCACTGGACGCGTTATACTGGAAAGAGAGGCGCCGAAAGCAAGTTAAGGCCTTTGATGTGTGGGCCTCAAAGTTAGAGCATTGAAGGAGTATTTGGTTCGGAACTCTCCTTGAGCAGAGAGGAGAGTTGGTGAAGCCTTAGCCCAAAGCACTGACACGCTCTAGCCAGCAGCTGCGGAGTTACCACACTTGGCTTCAAATACACCCCCTGGAAACTCGGCCTCAAGGTTGCAAGAGCCCTCCCCCCCCCCATACTACCCTTACTACTCGTGGTGCACCTGTGGATCGAGGGGCACCAGGCTGTAGGGGGAGAGGCTGGCAGGCTAATTTCCACCTTGGCGGCACCTCTGGGGATGATTTTACCAGGACACGCAGCCCCCTCCCTCCCCCATTCCCCAGCCCGTCCCCACTTCCCCGGGCTCCCACTTCCTCCCCTGCAGGCAGAAAGTTTGCTCCCCGATGCGCAGCGCGAAAGGCGCAGCGCTGAGGTGCCCGAGTGCCCTGCCCTACCCATAGCGAGGCAGTGGAATCTCCGCGGGTCCGCCACGTTGTAGGTGGTGGCTGCGCAGACAGGTGCGTGGTGCTGCGGGTGCCCCAAGGCCGCTGCCGCCGCCGCGGCCGCTGCAGCCGCCGCCGCCGCCGCCGCCGCCGAGCCGGGCTGCTGGGGCGGGTGATGGTGATGGTGCTGGGCGGGTGGTGGTGATGGTGCGCGTGGCTCAACCGCGAGCAAAACTGTGCGTCCCCAGGACCCGAAGAGAACTGGCTCTTGAGCAGAGGCAAGGCCCCAGAACCTCCTGCTGGCCCGCCACCCCCGACCCCGGTACCCCCGGCTGCCGCGCCCCCGCCCCCGGCGCCCGCGGGCGCGCGCGAGGAGTGCAGGTGCGAAGTGACGCAGAGCGGGCACACGCAGAAAGCTCCGCTTTTGCGGGACGGGCAGCCGGGCCCAGACACGGACATCACCAACGGGGACGGCATGCCAAGGGGGATGAAGAAATCCGGCCCGGGATGCGGTTCAGGAAGCGAGGGTGCGGGCCTGGAAGAATCCTTGATGATGAGCGAGTCGACATAGAAGGAGCGCGACATGTCGGACGGGACGGGACGGGCGGCGACGCCCCCTCCCCTGCGTGTTCTCAGCTCTGCGCCCGGAGCCTCTCGGGGACGCGGGCGGCCAAACTCTCGTGGGGGGGGGATCGTAGAGGTGTCGACGTCTGGGACACGAACAAAGGGGTCCCTGGAGAGGGCTGGTCCTCACGTCCCCCTCCCGGTGCCCCGGCTCCCGGATTTTATAGCCCCCACCCCAGCACGTGATGTTGCGGAGTAGCGCTCGGCTCCCGCTCCTCCGCCGCTCCCCACCCTCGGGATAGGCTGCCCGAGTCACAACAGAAGCGGCGAGGAGGGGCGGGCGCGCGGCGGGGAAGAACGAGGAGGAGGGGAGTGGGGGGGGGAGACTTTGCAAAGTGTAGGTTTTGTTAATTTCTCCGGGAGACCGGCCTCCTCCTCCTCCCTATTCTCCACGTCCCACCCTCCCCGAAATCACCCGTGCTGCATTTTCTATCCTACCCCGCTTGCCAGCCTACCTCCACCCCTCCACCGTCCCCCCTGCCCAGATCTGCCCCGCAGCCCACGGTGGAGAAGCGCACCAGGTAGGGCCTGCGAGGTGGAATACTCGGCGCCACCCTCGTGGCTGCGGCTCCACTTGGGAAGAGGGTGTGTAAGGGGCAGACTACCTCTGCGTTCTAATCCAGGCCGTGTCTAGGGTCACGGTCCCCGGCTCCCCAGGTTTTGAACTTGCCCAAGGTCACTCGGGTGTTGATTCACCATGGATCCATACAATTGTCGCCCCACCTAAAAAAGCCGCCAAGCTTTTCGTTCTGATGCTCCTGGGATCTAACGTGCCTGAGTACTTGGGTTCCTGCTAGGACCCCTTGGGTCCAGAACTCTTCCTGGTACGCAGTTTCTGATCGTTAGCCGGCCCTGCTGCCGAGAGAGGCATTAAAATGTCACCGTTTTCTTTCTCTATGTTGCTATTCTCCATAGTTAAATTGCTGTGTTTTCCAAACCAAACTGTAAACTCCATCCCAAAGATACGGGAAAGGTTAAACACCAGCCAGCCCTTCTAGAGATTGTGCACGGATTGGGGAAAGGCCTTTGCTCCGCGTCTAGTGATCTATTCTCATTTTTGTTCAGTTTGGGCAGCTGGAAGGCAAACCAGTTTGTACTGTCCCAATGTAACCAATGTAAAATCCAAAACCAAAAAACGGTATGGTGGATTGGTAGAAGAAATCTTAATGGTGCAGGTCCTCCTGGAGATGTGTGTGCAGCCAGCTACATAAGAGGGCACTGCCATTATTGGGGCTCTTGGTTTTTTTGTTTTTCTGGGGGATGGAGGAGGCAAAGCAGCAGAGCTCACAGAAATCTCTTCTATTTTCTCCCTACAAAGAGCAGGCCACAAGTCAAATCCTTGTCCCAAACTGGATAATTTCAGGTCTGAGTTCACAAAGGCACTAGGAAAACTTGAAGACAGAACTCTCTTCATCTGAGAGGACCAAGTGTCCAAATGCAGGGGGCACCAGCTGGAGGCATGTATCTCTGTGTCCTGTTTCTCTCTTCCTCTTCCCATCCCTATTACCAACTCTCTAGTTTGCTGGAGAATGGTAATTGGGTTGTAGGGACGCCCGCTCTGGGGAGCCCAGGATTTATGGATGGCAATTAAAGTTTTATGAATTGCAGCTGAGGCTGGTTATTGAGCTATTTGAATGTGATTAGAATTCAATTAGAAAGCGGTTAGTGGACGGTGGGTCTCCAGAGTGTAAACAGACAGCTATTCCAGAAATGTGCTAATCCAACATCTTGTGACAACAATTAAGGAGTCTCAAGGCCCAAACGTGGAGCGGCTCAGCTGTAACTACTTTTATACCACAGGGGTAGCTCATGCAGCCTTCACAAATACTCAGTCTCACCCAAGCCCTTCCAGCCCAGCCTCTCCCAGACCAATCCAGTCTGCTTTACCTAGGGTTTGAAGGGAGACTCCAGCAAGTCCTAAAATCTTTCAGAAACAGGAAGAAAAGATTTGGAATTCAACAACTGAATGATGCTGTGTGGATATTTAAAAATGAGGGGGATCTGGGCTGGGATATAGCTCGGTGGCAAAGTGCTTGTCTAGCAAGTGCAACATCTTGTGTATGATCCCTAATTTAAAAAAAAAGACAAAAATAGTTTTAAAAACCCAAATGAAAAAAGGCCTAACATTTTCAAACAGGTATTTGACCCTCTCATCCCACTGGATTCTTTGAGTCTCCTTCTTCTTCTTTCATCTGTTTGGGAGTGACATTTGTATGAGAGCATATTCAGCAATTTGGGGAGGGGTGCTCATAGAACTCCTCTGCTAATACGCTAAAAATTGTGTGTGTGTGTTCATATCATTTTATTTTAAAGAATCGTAATTATGCAAGAGACGCATAGTGCATTCAGTGTGTCTGGCTATGGAAACATTGAGTTTCCAGTGTCAGGGAATTTTGAGAAAGATAGGGATGGATGAAGCCAAAACTTCAAGCCAGACTGAGGATGGGTGCAGGACATGTCTGAGATACATGCCCATTAGGATGCTTGGTTAATTGCTTGTGTCCAACAACAAGTAATTTAGAGTTCTATTCCCTGGATAGTTCTATCTTCTTCCTTTTCTTTAGTTCTTTGAATTTATTACTATCTCCAAGTCTTTCTTTCTCTTCCAACCTGCATCTCTGAGGCCAACACACTTATTTACACCCCCCTCTCTCTTTCTCTCTCTCTCTCTTTTGTCAGTCGTGGGGCCTGAACTCTGGGTCTGGGTGCTGTTCCTCAGCTCTTCAGCTCAAGGCTAGCACTCTACCACTTGAACCACAGCACCCACTTCCGGCTTTTTCTTTTTCTGCTTATATGGTGCTGAGGAATTGAACCCAGGGCCTCATGCATGCAAGGCAAACACTCTACCACTATTTACATCTCTTCTACTTCTAGTCAACCTTTCAGGCAGGGCCAGAATGCTACTGGCCCTGGGTAACCCAACTGTTCCTCAGAGAATAGACCCTACCCCAACCTGCTTAGAGCAGAAAGGGACCCTTACACTTAGACTTCCTCCAGGAGGGACCGGATAGAGTATCGACGGCGTGTGCCCAGGGTGCTTGCATCACTGCACAATTTTATTTCTCAGTGATTCTGTCCGATAAAATTTCATCGTCCATTAAGTAATCCCCAAAATGAGAACACTTATGAGCCTATAATGAGCTCTAATTGCAACGACTTGGGGAGCCACGTGGAAGGATTTATTCGGTATTAAGCAGTCGGGTACAGAGTACAGGCTGTTACCTAAGCCATTACTTTCATAATTCAAGGAGAAAATTAGTTCTTTTAAGGGGAGGGGAAAATCTTTTGATTTCCCCTCTCTTGTTCAAGATGCTAGTCTTCCTTTAGTGAAAGCAAGTGTCACAATGTGAAGGCAACAAAATTGTTTTCCTCACTCCTCCTGGCCAGGCACTGTCCCTTGCCTAAATTAAAAAAAAACAAACAATAAAAGCTGTTTTTAGAAAAGAACATCATCACTGCTTTTTTTCTTGCTTCCTTGACCTTCCTTCTTTTTCTCTCTCCTTCCTTCTTTCTTTCCTTCTTCCCTTCCTTCCGGTCTCTCTTCCTTCCTTCTCTTCCCTCCTTCCTTCTTTTCTCTGTCTGTCTGTCTCTCTCTCTCTCCCCCTCTCCCCATCCCACCCCCTCTTTCTGTCTCTCTTTTTGATTCTGGACTCTCCAACTTTAGGCTTGGTGAACAGTTTCCTTGTAGCTTAGCCTTCAGATTTGAATTCTTGGTTCTAGGTTTCCAAAGGTCTTCCAGTACTTTTCCCCTCCAGTGTGAGGGAACCTGACCTGAACCTCACATTCTCCTCTCACGTCTCTTTCTTCCCATTTCCTTTCAGGGGCAAAGTCAGAAAAGTGAAGGGCAGAGACTTAGCACTGATTATTCAGCAAACTCCAGAGTTCTGATCCATTGATGTGCTTAGCCTTTTTTTTTTTTTTAATTTCCAGGCCCTAATTCCCACTTCACCCCTCCTTCTGCAACCTTCAAAATGCTCCCTTCCTTTCTGTCTCCTGTGCCTTTATTTCCCCCTCTCCATTTCAGCATTTGTACACAAGATTCTCTGGCTCCAAACGGAGGCTGCAAGCAGGGCAGGACAGCCAGGGAGTTGGCAGGGCCGCCTCGGATTTATTTGCTCCTCTTACATTGATTTCATATTAGTTTCCAAAGCGATGAATGATCTCAAAGCTGGGTTTTGTTAGCCGAACACAAACAGGAGACAGGACTTACTTGCCCCCAGCTCTCTTTAATGAGGTCATTATCAAAGCGTGAACAAGTCTATGAATGTTTTATTGAAAGCGCATCGTTAACTTGTATCCATCCTTTTCTCCAAGTGGCATTGTGATATTGCTGTCTGTGGCACATCTTACCCGATATAGCCCGAGATTTCCCCATTCTCTGTAACCAGGCAACCCTTTCTGAATACCCCAAAATTGAAAAGAACCGCTTAGTCTTCAAGAAAGTCCTCAATAATAGTGGAAAAGAACAAAGATCCAGGAGACAACAAAATGCCACAGGGGTGACTTTTCATGAGCAATTATCTCTCATTAATCAGAAGAACAGCTGCAATATTAATTTTCTCTCTTTCTTCCTCTCTTTTCACAGTCCCCAACATTTGAATAATCATAAATTTTGATTTTATGAAGGAGTCACATTTTCAGGGGTTGGAGGAAAGCAGCTACCTAGGTAAAGACAAGAAGAAAATGCTCTCGATTTATTATGATTTTTATTTTTTGGGTTTGGGTAAAGCTGCCGACAAAGCAAAATGGGAAAAAATAAAAATAAGAAAAAAGACGCATCCCCCCCTTCTTCTAGATGGCTGGGAACCAAGACTCCTTTTCCCTCCACCCCCTTCCTTGCTACCAGCTCTCCCTTCTTTCCTCCCCCATTTTCAGACCTCTCCCCCCGACCCCCGCCCCCATTCTGCAGTTTTGCTCTGAGCAGGGAGGAGGGAAATGTCCCCGGCGTCTGGCGTGGGAGT